CAAATATTTTCTGGAAATTCAGCCCAAGAGGTCGAGTTTTGAATTGTGAAAACTTGGTTTTGGTTTGGAGGTGCAATCTGGAATTTCCAGATTTTGCACTTCTGCTCGAGCGGGGAATTGGCGCTCGAGCGTGGAATCCGAGCATCCAGTATTTCTCTGCACTGTTTTACAGTTCGCTCGAGCGGAGGATTGGGCGCTCGAGCGGAGGATTGTGTCTCAAGCTCGAACGGGCGTCGAACGGAGATTTCACCCATCTAGTACTTTTACAGTACGCTCGAGCGAGAAAGTTGACGCTCTAGCGTGTACCTTTGTTGCATGACCGCTCGAGCGGGGAAACCTGCGCTCGAGCGGGACTCTGTTTTTCTGATAAATTCTGAAACTGCTTTTTGAGTACATCTTTGCATCCTCATCCCATCCTAGGCATGCTTAGGCCTAGTGTAAGACATTTTACTGAGGATATAGATGTAGAACACACAGAGGCATTAGGGGTTAAGTTATTATCTTTCCCAGCTGTGTAGCTTAGTGTGTTCAATCTGTTAACTGTGTAGGGTTGGCGACTTGGGAGACACGCTCTAGCATACTGTAGCCCAGAACTCTGTGAGTAACGATTGTGTAAAGATATGTTCACAAATGATTATCTTCTGAACAACTGAACTGTACTGATTTCTGAACTGATTACTGTTAACTGAATGAATGTATGTCCTATATTCTGAACTGTATTGTGGCATCCTTAGCACCTACTGTTTACTGTTATTGCGACAGAAATCTCTGTCGGTTCCCTTGTTGGAACCACTACTGTTTACTGACTGATGGCCATCACTACTGTTCGGTCTTTTAAGACCTACTGCTTACTGTACTGTTGTGCTAATGGGTGTACCACATATGACTGTACTGACTGAACGACTGAAATACTGTTTAAATGAACTGTTTTCATACTGTAAGGACATTCATTCTTAACCTCTTTACGCATTATGTTATTCAATGGGCTTTAGCTCACTGCTCATATATATATGTAGGTGTACAGGCACCAGACCGCAGCTAGAAGCGTCAGGGTAAACTCCAGTTTTGTCAAGCCAGCCTATGTGCCTCACTGCGAGGTTCCGAGCCTATCGTGTTAAGGCTTAGGGGCGTTTTGTAATTCCCCCTTCTGTACCGTCTTACTGTTCTGTATAGACTGAATGTTACTGTATTGTTTTACAGGGATTGAGTCCCTAGTCTGAATGATTGTAAATATTGTGCATACTGTTCTGTACTGTTTACGAATAAATGTATGAAAAGTCTTTTTGCATACAGACTGTCACAGCTCATTGGGCATTGTTTCTTTACTGTATTGGCTTCCGCCAAGCCCTGTACTCTGTTTTACTGTACTACTGTTCTGCAGGCCTTCGGTAATCTCGGATTACTGGCCGGTTACGGTGCTAAACCCATAGGGCCGGGTTTGGGTCGTGACAATTAACCAAGTTCATTATTATCTAATCAACCAAAATGAGACTACAACTCAATGGTTCACAATTCAATACATTCATCACTCCAACACTTCTATTTTGCCATTTTACGGAACTCTCATCCAAGGGAACCGGCACCCATATATATACAAGATTTTGGGACTTTCACCCTGGACACTCCGCCAACTTAATTTTAAATGGAGTCCATCCCCTATTTCCTCCCAAACAGTGGAGTACATCCACATTATTCTCCCAAACAATTATACATATGCAATGTATTAAAATATCGTCATATATGATGACCATCCACAACACATATTCAATATCTCAATCATCCCGTCATATTCAATGACATAATTTAAATGATAGGTTTCAATTTACCTAATTTTTATGCAATTTCTACAACAATCATAGTTATCCTCCACCGATAGCCCAAAACAGATATTTCTAGACAGATACACAATCTTTTAAACAGATAATTTATCAAATTTCCATAGATGAGTGATTTAACAAATCCAATTATACCATTCATTCACATATCCTTCCAATTTCACATTTTCCATATCAATTTTATTATTTATACAATTTAGTTATCCAACTCAAATTAGGGCAAATTTCCCTATTTTTCAAATATCAACCCAAAGGCCAAATTTCACCACTTTAGCACTAGAGAATCTCATATACAAGCCCCATAGTCATTTTGTCAAAACAACATGGAAAACCCCTCTTTCAATTTTGAATTCAAATCCTAACTTTACTCAAATCCTCCCAAATCCCACCATTTATACAAAACAACAAACACCTAGGTTAAAAACCATATAATGGTGTAGAATGCCCCTACCTCAAAGAAAGAAGACGAGCCAAGCAAGGATGGAACTTTAAAAGTAACAAAACCAACTTCTACTCGGATCAAAGTGAAGAGCTTGAGGATTTCTACCTTTTTAATGAAGGTACAAGGGTATAGAGATCAAAGGATCTAGGTCAAAATGTAGAGATAATGTAAGTTTGAGAGAGAGAAACTCTCAACTTCAGGGTTTTGGGTGAAAAGATATGAAAAAATGATATAAAAAATGTTTTTCGCAATCTGATATACGCGCAGTTCGCTCGAGCGAAGAGTTTGACGCTCAAGCGGAGAACACAAACTTTTGTTCCGTTCGAGCGCAAGAAGAGGCCCGCTCGAGCTCAAGAAAAGACGCTCGAGTGCCCACTTGTTCGAGCATAGGAAACGCTGCTCGAGCGTAAAAGACATTCCTCCAGTACTTTTGCAGACGTACAAAGTACTGAAGGTTTGCAACTTCTGCTCGAGCGTAAGAAAGTCCGCTCGAGCGAACTACCAAAATTTACATATCCCGTTCGAGCGCAATAATGGCCGCTCGAGCGGAAGACCAAAAATTTTGGTAACACAAGGTTTGAAAACTAAGTAACCCACTTGTTCCAAATATACCCATAACCACCCAAAGACCAATTTCAAAGGTCTACAAGGGAAAAAGGAGATACATAACAATACAAAGGCACTAAACCTGAGTCCGGAACATCACAAGAGTTGGGTCAAAATCGGGATCGCTATAGTTTAATAGGGAACTCCTTGCTCGCCGAGGATAGAGACTTATTAAATTTCCAGACTCCTTATTTGCTAAAATTATGAAAGGAATATACTATCCCAACTCAGAGTTTTGTCATACAGTGAGAGGATCACGACCTTTATGGGCGTGGCTTAGCTTGCTGCATGAGAGAGAAATTCTGAATAGAAGCTTACGGTGGCAAGTCCTAAATAGCAGATCCATTAATTTCTGGGATGACCGGTGCATGCCCACTAATTTGGGTTTTAAAATTCAATCAGCAAGGAAAAATAGGGTATTAGTGCAAATGGTGAATAAGGTGATCGATTCTTCTAGTAAGCAATGGGATGTAACAAAGCGTAGAAGTCTGGTGTCTGGAGAGGATTGCGATGCCATTCTCTCAATTCTAGTATCAGTAGAGGATGGTGATGATATTTTTGTGTGGCATTATGACACGAAGGGATGTTATACGGTTAAGTCGAGGTATCAAGAAGCAGCAAAACAAGCTCACTTGGGGTCAAATTTGCCATCTTCTTCTTTGGGTTGGTTTGAGAAAGAATGGAGGTTTGTATGGAGTTTGAACTTACTCCCAAAACTCAAGCACTTCTTATGGAGAATTTATCATAATGCTCTGGCAACCCAACAGAACCTTTATTTTAGGCGCTGTGCAAATATGGACTGTTGCCCTGTGTGTTTTGTGGAGAAGTGGTTTGGAAATACTCTTCAGATCTTGGGAGACGCTAGTGATCCTCAGCTAGTCACCTGAAAAGATACAAACACTCCGGTCGGAGGTGCCGGAATTAGCACTCCGACGGACAAGTCAGTTCAGACACTCAGGATAGCTTGTTTACTAAGTTAAGTGAAGTGATTCTTACATACTTTTCTAAATCTGTGGTTCTTGTATTTATACTTGCTTTTTGGGCCTCGGGGCCTGAGCCTACTTTTATCCCATTCCCCTTTTATTTATTCGGAGCTACTGATCTCCGGCTATTCGGCCTTACTAATTTATTCGGCATCCTAGTCACGCAATATGGAGCCGAATAATACCTGATTTCTAGGGTACGCACCTTCCGACTCTTCTATTTATTCGGCTCCCACAATTGCCCCCCAAGCACTTTACCAACGACAGTTGGGTGGAGTGCTTGGTTTCAAATTTCGAAAAGTCAGAGACAAACTCGGCGGTTGGCCCTATCCTCATACGGATATCTAAGCACAACCCTTTCTTAAAAAAATTTAGTGTTGTTAAATTATAAATTATAGATTACAAATTTAAAATTATATATTAAATAAAAAAATAAAAATTATAAATTACAAGGGTAAAATACTCTTTTTGAACATTTATTCTGATCCAGTTTGTCCAACTAAATATTGAATTTATTAAAAATAGTCTAATCCAGACATCTAATCCCATAACTAAACAAACATAAAATATAAATCCAATCCAACCAAATAATTTAGAGATAATATATCTCAAAACTAACAGTTTTATAAATTACAATCCTCTTATCCAGTTCGTTCAAACAAACCTGCCCCTACACACTCATTCTCTCTCTCTCACATTGTCTCTCTCTCTCTTCTCGTTACTCTCTCCCCTCACTCTCTCTCTCCTCTGCCTCACACAGGCAACGACGATGCCGTCACTTCAGAGCATCCCAACTCTCCTCCTAAACCCATTCCTTATTTATTTTAAGGTGTTGAAATCCCTTTATACACATCCAACAACTCCCAAAAACAATTTCCTAAATTAACTTTTGTTATAGTGGCTCCCTATTTGTAAAGAACCAGTAACTCTCTTATAATTTTTTTTTTTGTTTTGCTTTGTTTAAGAATTTTTGTACACATTTATAATTTTTATTTTTTTTAAATTTTTAATTAAAAATTATATTTTAATAAAAGAGAAAAAAAAATAAAAATTTTATTAATAAAATAGAAAAAGAATAAAAAATCTGATGAAAAAAGTAAATAGAAAAAGATGAATAATATCTTAAAATAAAATTTAGGTGATAAGAATGCTCTCAGTCACTACCTCCACTACCACTGCTGCCACTGCTACCTCTGTTGCCGTCCTCTCTCTCCGTAGGGTTCATGGAGAAGGTCTCCGCGGTAGCAGAGTCAGAGGAACTCACCGTGGAGGAGCGCAACCTTCTCTCCGTCACCTACAAGAACGTGATCGGCACTGGTAAGGCTTCCTGGCGAATTATCTCCTCGATCAAGCAAAATGAGGAGAGTTGCGGCAACGAGGACCACGTCTCCACCATCAGGGATTACAGATCTAAGATCGAGTTGGAGCTATCGTCGATCTACGACGGCATTCTCAAGCTCCTCAACTCCATGCCTATACCAACGGCTTCCTTTGGAGACTCCAAAGTGTTTTACATGAAAATGAAGAGCGATTACCATCGCTACCTCACTGAGTTCAAGACCGTGGCCGCGCGCAAGGAATCTGCCGAAAGCACCCTCACTGCCTACAAAGCAGCTCAGGTTTGTTTCTCACTCTCTATCTTTATCCATCTACATGTGTTTATATCTTCAAGCGTTTCATATTATGCAAAATTGCAATCACGCTGCTTGTTTTCATTTTTCAGCAAATACTTTTGAGAAAATTTTATTTTTTTATTTTTCGTGTTTTTTTAATTTTTACTGAATTTTTTAATATTTTAAATAATTTTTTTTATTTTTTAAACATATTTAACATAAACACACCTAAAAAGTAAAAAAATTAAAAAAAAATCTTTTAAAAATTCATTAAATACCAAAAATATAAAAAAAAATACAATAATTCAATATATTTTTTGTATTTTTATATATTTATTAACTTTTTAAAATATTTTTTCACAATATTTTTACTTTTTAAATATATCTAAGGTACATCTAAAAAAATAAAAAAAATATTTAAAATTTAAAAAATATTCACTAAAACAAAAGAATACGAAAATCAAAAAATTTAATTTTCAAAAAACTTAATTCAGAAAACTCAAACCAAACCCACTAAATACTTTTTGAGAAATTTTTGGATTTTAGATTCTAATTTTGGTGTTCATTTTTAAATGTTGTAGTAGATTTCTTTGATTTTTTTTTTTTTTTTTTTTTTTTTTTTTTTTTTTTTTTTTTTTTTTTTGGATCCTTCGATCTATCAACAAGATGCCTTCAAACTTTTAATTTGATGAATGCGATCCATGATTTTTAGTGTGGATCATTGGTGAAAGAATTTTCCGAGCAAAATTCTGAATTTTTTGTTTGGTTAATGAGAAATAGAAGAAATAAAGGATATAAAACTCCGAATTTTTTCACAGATCCTAGATCCAAATCCATGATTATTAAACTTTTGATCTTTATTATTTTCACAGATCCCACAGATCCGCGATCCAGATCCAGATCATCACAGATTTGAAGAATTATGGTTTTTTTTCGTTGATCTAGGGTGGTATTGTTGATGATGATTTGGATATTTGTCTTTTTTTTTTTGTTCTTCTTGTTGATTGCAATAGATAAAAAATGAGTTTTTTTATTTTTTTTATTTTTTATTGTAGTTCTTGTAGTTGTAGCTGTTATTCATTTTTCTTTTTGTTTTTTTTTTTAATTTTTTTTATTTTCTTAAATTTAATGAGTATTATTACACATCAAAAATTGAACAAATAACTAAGATTGAGAATTTGCATTTTATGAGTATTCCATATTACACATAAAAAATTGAACAGATAACTGTTGTTGTTAATTTGATGGTCATGGGTGTGTTCTTTTTAGTTTTAATTTAATTTAATTTAAATTTTTTTAGTTGTTTTGTTATTATTCTAATGATAAGATCTAGATGGAATGCCATTTGTTTGATTTAAATATGAGCAGATAGTGGATTCAAAAAAATTGAACAAATATTTTCAATAGAGAGAAAAAATAAAAATTTAAACAGAAAAAATTTGGACAACTAAAATTGAACATATTTTAAATAGATAGAGAGAGAAACTTACAAACTCTGAACAGATAAGGAAAAAAATTGAACAAATAGATAAAATTTAGTGAAAAAATTGAACAGATATGTAGAATCTATGGCAAAATTGAATAGATAGATATAATTTAGGAGAAAAAATTGAATAGATAGTTAAAAAATTTGAGCAAATAAATATAAATTTGAACAGATAATCAATGAAAAGTCAATAAATAAAAAAAAAAATTTACAAATAAATTAAGGAATAAAATTAAAAATAAAATGTCCTCCAAAACTAAAAGAATGACTTTTCATTGATCTATTTCACAAAAGATAAATTTTTCACTAATAAAAAATATATACTAGATTTAATGCCACACTTTTTAAATTGGATATGTCATTAACTTTTTTCTTTTTTGAATAAGTTCGGCCTCGTACCAGCTTATATTTTTTAGGACGATTGTACTAGGCTATTGACTAGTCAAAGTTTGAAAACTCATTCATATATGAAACATGTAATAATTACGGACCGAATAAGTCCGCAATTCCGATATAGACCCCCTCAACCCCCTCAGAGGTGGCACCTGATGAAGTCATCTGAAGAAGAATCGCACAATGAAAAAGGTGTTATACACGCACCTGAAAGACAAGACAAATACTGAAAACAAAGACAGAAAAAAAAGTGGGAACGTCTTCTCTCTTCCCTTCCATCGTGCGTCCCCCATAGCTCTCCTCCGTCGACCATAGCATTTTGTCAGGTAATGTTACTCGAAAACCCCTGAATCTCCCTCATTCTCCCTCTCTCTCTCTAGCTACATCAACTATGCTGAAACTGTCATGGTTGATGCTCATAATTTGGGGTTCTGTATAAATTCTGTTCATAACCCCAAATTATGACATCCATGCATGTTATCAGTTTGTTTTGGCCGATATTTATTGAAACATTGAAGCAGAGAATTTCTTTGTGATTATCAAATTTTTGACTGTAGTCATTAACTTTTTGGACATTACAGAAGGTGCAAAGTATACAGAGAAAAAACGGACAGTTCTAATGATATCTATGATAGCATCAATGCTAGGATTATAACCTTGAACTTTTGAATCTACTGATAAATATATTGCCTAGAGCTTCATCACTGCATAATTTAGAGTAGGATTCTTGTTTCATTTTTATTTTTTTATTTTTTTTACTTTTCACTTACAAATAGAGAAACTTACTCTTTGTAGGGTTCTTGTGATTGTGCAATCTTGTTTGGGTTGTTAAATTTTTCTTTTTAAATTCTTCATTTACCTTCAAGTGAAAGAGATAATTGCAAAGTCAAGGTAAAGAGAGCTTTAAATTTCTATATGAGTGAGATAATGTAGGAAAGATTAGAATGTACCAAGCTTGGTTCTGCTACTTTTTAAACATATAACAGTACTTAGAGACAAAAAACTATGAAATTGTGACAAAAAGCAGTGGAAAACTTTGTTTGCTAATTTCATAACAGTGGAAAACTTTGTTTGACAAAAAGCAGTGGAAAACTTCAAAGTTTCATAACAGATGTTTGATAATTTCAATTAAACACTGTATTTGATAACAGATGTCTGTCTTCACAGATGTTTGATTGAAATACAATTTGTTTTATAATATTTTAGCTGATGTTTGATTAGTTTTATAATCAAACATTTGTGATGATTATAAGATTTTGAAAGTTTATTATTAGATCAAAGTTTCAATCATCACAGATGTTTGATTGGATGTTTGAAAGTTTATTATTAGATCAATGTTTCAATCATCACAGATATGTTCAACAAAGTTTATTATTAGATGTTTGATTAGTTTAATAATTTTATTATTAGTTTTATAATATTTTAGCTAATGTTTGACCTTATAAACATCTGTGATTAGTTTTAGACATCACAGATGTTTGAATTTGTTTGATGGTTTATTTCAACAGTTTCTACAGTTTATTAGCTGATGTTTGATCTTATAAAATTATTATTCTCAAATCATTCTATTTGAATTTCATTTTTGATTCTCGTAGAATGGAGGTTGATTCAAATGGTGGTGACAATCCTTCAGTAAATGAGGGTGAACAAGTTGAATCTGATTTCCGACCCCCTCAAAAACAAGTTGAAGAACCGAAGAAGGGTATGTGTTTAGCTCAAGGGAAGAAGTGTACACATTTTATACCACATATGCTAAGCATGTTGGTTTTTCTATAGCTCATAGAGCACAACATTTTGGAGATGATGACGAATTAAAAAACTTTGCAATTGAATGTTCTCGAGCGGGGGAGAGAAAAAAGAAATCAGAAGTGAACTCTTTGAAGCCATCTTTGTCCACAAAAATTGGTTGCAAAGCAAGGGTACGAGGTACTCTACAAAAGAATGGGACATATATGTTAACCACAGTTAACCTTGAGCATAATCATGATTTGATTCCCACCGACTCTCGTCATTTTGCAATGAATAAGAAAATTCGTACTCCTGTGAAGAGAAGATTAGAAATCAATGATCAAACAGGGATTGGGGTGTCTAGGAACTATCATTCAATGGTTGTTGAAGCGGGGGGATACGAGTCATTGACATTGGATGAGCGAGATGCAGGGAATTACATTAATAGAGCTAGAAGATTAAGGCTTGGTGAAGGTGATGCTGAATCACTTCAAAATTATTTTATCAGGATGCAAGCACATAGTGAAAAATTCTTTTATGTGATAATGTTGATGAGGAGTTTCGCATTAGAAACTTGTTTTGGGCTGATGCAAGGAGTCGGGCTATGTATGAATCATTTGGAGATGTTATTTCATTTGACACAACTTATCTGACGAACAAATATGACATGCCATTTGCTCCATTTATAGGAGTCAATCACCATGGACAGTCTATTTTGCTTGGTTGTGGATTGTTATCTAATGAAGACACCGACACATTTGTTTGGCTATTCAAGTCGTGGTTAAGTTGCATGTCAAATAAACCTCCAAAACTATCATAACTGATCAGTGCAGAGCTATGCAAAATGCTATAGAAATTGTCTTTCCACGAGCCCGGCATCGATGGTGCTTATGGCATGTAATGAAGAAAATACTGGAGAAGTTGAAAGGATATGCTCAGTATGAACCCATGAAGTTGGCTATGCAAAATGCAATTTATGATTGTTTGACAAGAGATGAATTTGAGGAAAAATGGGAAGAGATGCTTACTAAATTCAATCTTTATGATAATGAGTGGTTGGGGGTACTATATCATGAGCAGCATCGATGGGTTCCTGTATATGTTAAAGACATTTTTTGGGCTGGCATGTCAACAACACAACGAAGTGAAAGCATGAATGCTTTTTTTGATGGATTTGTCAACCCGAAGACTACATTAAAACAATTTGTTGAACAATATGACAATACATTGAGAAATAAGGTAGAGAAAGAGAAGAAATCAGACTTCAAGTCTCGACACAAATTGTTTGATTGTCTAACTACATATGGCTTTGAGAAGCAATTTCAACAAGCCTACACCAATGCAAAATTCAAAGAAGTTCAAGGAGAGTTGAAGAGATTAGTGTATTGTCAAGCCTTGATTGTCAAAGAGGAGGGAGCAATTTGTACATATAATGTCCAAGAAGCGATGGTAGTTTGTGACAAGATGAAGCATGTGGACTTTGTTGTGTATTTTAATGCAATTGAATGTGAAGTTCAGTGTATGTGTCGGTTGTTTCAGTTTAGAGAGATTATGTGTGCTCACTCACTCGCGGTGCTTGTGAGAAGGTGCATAAATGAGGTGCCAAGTAAGTACATTTTGCCACGTTGGAGGAAAGATTTGGTTCGAGAGTACACATGCATCAAAACCATATACACTGGCTTTGGGGATGATTTCAATACAAGTTGTTATGAGAGGATGAACAAGAAATTGATCGCCATTATACAACTTGCTGGTAATTCAGAAGGGAAAATTAAAATTATAGACCGTGCGTTGGATGAAATGAAGAATAGAGTCATGCACGACAAATTGGGTGATGGGAGTAATTTAGCACCTTCTACTAATAGGATAACATCTTCTACAAAAAGTCCAATTGCCACCGGATGTACATCGGGTGCTAGTACGAGGAAGGTGGTTAGTCCTTTGGTTGTTCGACGAAGAGGCTGTCCAGTAACGAAACGAAAGGTTGCCAAAGTAGATCAAATAGTGAATCGGTTCAAGGCAACGGCAAAAAAACAAACAAAAGCAAAGGTAAATTGTATATTGAATTGAACTTGTATATTAAATTGAACTTGTTTTTTATTTTTTTAACAAACTCTTTTCAACTACATTTTTACAAACTCTTGAACCAATATAGGCTGCTAAGGTTCTTCAATTTGAAGCTCAAGCTCAAGCTGAAGTTGAAGCTCAAGTTCAAGCTCAAGCTTATACATCATATTATCCTTATATGGTTGGCATGCAAAATAGTGTGTATGCACCGGTATGTGTTCATAAGATGACTTTACATTCATTTTTTGTTTTCATTTACAAATATTTTGTAACATGTATTTTTTTACTTCAATTATAACAGGTTGTAAATGCTATTGGAGGCACATCTCTTATCCCATCGAACTTTGTAAGCG